AGTATTGGCACGATGAGCAGCACTGCAGACCGGTTACACACTGTGGAAAGAAAGGGCAGTGCATATGTGTGTGTAATTACATACCTACACACACTTTTGACTTTAGGACAAAACTTTTCTCATTTGATTGATATGTATTCACTTGGCGTGATACATCTGAAGTTTCTTGGGAAAATTAGATTTCTATTGCAAAATTAATAGTGTAGATTGATGACATCTTCTTCGACCCCACAGAGAACACATAAATGAAAACAAAACAAAAAAAGGAAACAAAAGTATAGAGAAATGTTTAGAAATGAAAATTATTGTGTTCTCTATTTAATGGCCATGTTTACATGGAATGTCATTGAGAACCTAGAGTCCAAGGCTTCCCAGACTTGCAGCTCAGCCAGGCCAGCAGCACCCCCGAGTCCCCGTGCCCACTCTGCTCTCTCTACTTGCTGCCCTGCTGGTGTTCAGCTATAGTCCTGGTGGGTCTCTGAGCTGTGACCTGTCTCAGGACCATGTCCAGGTCAGCAAGGAGAACATTGCAATTCTGCACCAAATGCAGAACTCTTTTAGTTGTTGGAAGGACACAAAGAACTTCAGATTCCCCTTGGAGATGGTGGATGGCAGCCAGGTCCAGGAGGCCCAGGCTATCTCTGTCCTCCACGAGATGCTCCAGGAGACCTTTGACGTCTTCTGCACAGAGCACTCCTCTGCTGCCTGGAACACGACTCTGCAGCACGGGCTCCTCACTGGACTCCATCGGCAGCTGGAAGACCTGGGCATCTGTTTGGTGCCAGAGATGAAAGAAGTAGAATCTGCCCTGGGAATGGAGGACCCTACACTGGCCGTGAAGAGGTACTTCCAGGGCATCCGTCTCTACCTCAAAGAGAAGCGATACAGTGACTGTGCCTGGGAGGTTGTCAGAGTGGAAATTAAGGAAATCCTTCTCTTTATCAACAAACTTACTAAAAAGGTTATGAAATCAGGATGGAGACCTGGGGTCACCTTGAAATGATTCTCATTGTTGGTTGTGCTATATCATACTTGCACATATGTCATCGGTCATTTCCAAAGGGTCTTTCTGCTTTAGTCATAGAAATTACTGAAGTTAATTCAGCAAATCTTTTGTCAGAGTATTAAGCAAGACTATTCAGTTTCTGCGGCATCAGTCCCTAAGAGGTAGCTGCCTTGATGCTTGATTGCTTTTAATTAATTAATTAATTAATTATTTGTTTGTGTTTGTTTATTTATTTATTGTTAATTTATTCCACTCCTTCCTGTATCGATCATATTTGTAATATTTAAAAATCAATATAATTACATGTTCATCTTTACATTGTATTAAAATTTACACGTTTACCTTTCTATGTTTGCTTTTGCTTTATTTATTAAATTTCTATCTAAAAACTTCTTGAATTTATTTATAAAATCAAAATCCAAACCCTCGTTTTGTAGCTGATAGTGAAGAATGAGTAGTAAAATATCTTTACTCATTCATTCCATTCAGATGACATGTAGAAGCTGAGCATCTAATTTCAAACTGTGTAACCATGCTCAAGAAATCCAGGTAAATAAATATAGATAGTTCCTGATGTGTTGAACTTTGTGTCACAGAAAAGGAGACAAAAACAGTAATAATGTTAATTTCAATTATATTAAACACCACGAAGAGAAAGAAAAGAAAGGAATGAAGAAGAAACATGCCAGAAATTTTAGGCACAAAGGAGGCTGAAAAGAAAAATAATATCATCTGTTCTTTCTAAGGATTCTGGAAGACGAGTTCATACAACTTTCTTATTGGCAGTTGGGAATATGGATATACGATGAACAAAACTGCCACGGGGAGGTATTAACTGGGAATGCCTTATTGCATATCTGGTAATTAGGGCATCAGAATGGATGTGGTCACTCAGAGAGTGGACAATAAGGAAAGGACTTAAACATTATCCTGCAGACCTTCAGCATCTAAGGGTTGGGCATGCCGTGACCTGCTTGGTTAGACGGTTAATATACCTGAGAGGGGGCAATGGAAAGGTGGAGAAAAACACAGAGACAGTATACACAAAAGGTGAGGCCAGGTGGGACACTAAACTTTGCTCAGATACAATGACCCCAAGGCAAGCTCAGTATGTTATTATATACTTTTGAAGGTCAAGAAGGGAGTGGGAGTCTTCTTCTCAGGACTTCAAACTTGCTGGCAGCAATAATTTCCCAAGGCCTGTCTGTACCTGGTTATCTATGCTAAACTAGAAGCAGCTGTCTGTTCACTGTTTTGCTTCTCTGTCCTTGGCAGATTATAACAAGTCAAGCATGGCTTTGCCAACGCTTCAGCCACAGGTCTGGCTCAGATCCGACTCTCTACATCTCCCCCTTTTGTATTTTTTAAGCGCAGATGAAGTTTGCTCACTTGGAGTTCTCGTAACGGTCTCTGGAGGACTCAGCACCCAACTGAGAATATACACAAAAAAAATTATCAGCAAAATTAGCAGACTAAGTACCGGGCAGTATGTTTCAGAAAATTGCAGGGGTTAAAGCCTTTCAAATAATCTAAACTTTCCTCAGCCAATTTTGCAGGATCCACAATAGTGTCTTTACTGTTTTGGATGTCAAGAATATGTTTATGAAGATCAGCCACATCAAGACTGGCATTATTGTCAGTCCATATCCCTTGTAAATGTAATTTAACTTTATTCCAATCCCATTCAGAGGCACTGCAGTCTCCGAATGTGCCCCAACACCTCAATTTTCATGCTTCCTCCCTACATTATTTCCCTTCAGAGATTTTATTCCCTTAATCTTAAGGGGATGTTGAGGAAGGAAGGTCTGTCTTCTTCAAAGCTGAGATAGGGCTGTAGTCCCTGCCTACTGGGAATAAAAATCTCTGAAAGCCTATTTTAAGGGCCCCGGAGGCAGGCAACATGAGATCATTCCAACATGTAGAAGTAGTAGGAAGCCTTATAACCTAGAAGATGGAAACTTAGCAAAAAAGATAGAAGAGACAAGTCAAAGTTAATAGTAGAGATAATTGACAATGAAGTTGCTTTTTCATGGCAGTTAATTCAAGGTACACAAAAGTTCCCTGATTCCCTGGGACATGTGGACTTATCTAGTTTCCAGAATAAGAGCTTAAGATCTTCCAGGGATTCACAGGAATAGGTTGCACTTTCTGGTTTATTTTCTGGAGGAACCTGTGAGGACTGATAAGAAACTGGTTTAATTCAAGATAAATTACCCAGCTGTCGATTCCTTGTAAGCTGACATCAGCTGAGAACTTAACAAAACTTGGTAGAACCCTTTCTGTTTGCCTTGAGGGCTGACTATTTTTTCCTGTCACTGTGCAGTTAGCATTGGAGAGAAGCCCATGAGATGGGTCAGTACAGAATAGGTAGCTCTAGTATCTAGTAAAAATTCAGTTTTTCCTTCTTGCCATGTCAGGGTGATCTGAGATTCCACTGTTGTGATCGTGGTGGATTCCTTTAGGACTGGAGCTTGTAAGCGCTTGGGCCTCCATTGTTGGAGGAGAGAGCAGCCCCTTCATGAGAGGCTTACTATGTGGGACAAGGGCTTATGAGGTCCAGGGCTGGATGGACACTCGCTCTTCCAGTGCTCTTCCTTCTGCAGTTTGCACGTTGATTATGCCTCAGACCTGACAATGCCATTCATGGCCAACTAAGATCAAGGCCCTCTAGGCCTGAAAGGTTTTTATTGCCTAGGATCACTTCGAGATGGTACCTGTATTGTAGCCGCTAAAATTTGCGCCCTTTTTGTACTTTGCTTCCTTCTCTGCCCAGTCCCAGTTATTGGACACCCTAAAGACCTCTGGCATCAAGGCAGCCTGCAGGGGTGGGGTTTAGGCCCCAACTTTTGGAGCTTCCTTTGAATATGGGCCACAGAACAAGTTATGAAATGTATAGCTAGGAGTGTCTGGCCCTCAGACTTTGGGCTAATGTTAGTATATTCTCTAAAAGCCTCAGAAAACTGGTTGAGGCAACATAAAATGCAGAAATTACTCTGATTAATCACAGAATTCTTTTCTACCCAGAAAACTTTTCCATAACATCAGTAGCTAACTAATAGTCTAAGAAACATTAAAACACAACCTTAATTTTGCATTAGCTTACTTTTGACATTTAAATTTCCAATCTTTTTTAGCTTAATCGCGTAAAATTTCCTCTCAGGATTTCTCTTCACAAACCTCTACTACTTTCCTCATTCCTTCAGTTTGCTTCTTTTCACTCATTCAGAAATAACCAACTTTAAGACAAACACCTTTCCTTTAATTTCCTTCAGAATAAATCTATATACTTCATACCCTCTGTTACCAAAAATATACATTTTCCTTTCTATCATAATTAGAATTCTTAACTGAACCACCATATTACATATAACACAAATATACATCAGAGGTCATGCACATACTCATATTTTCCCATCATCAGTATTTGTAGCTTCCCTGGGGGTGTTGACTCAGCTGGTTATAGTCCATTCCTGACTATCCTTTCCTCTTCTAGCCTGCTGATCTCTGTGAGCCTCCCTCTCTATTTCTTGCTCATACTCAGGAGGCAATGGTGGTGGAGGAGCAGAAGGTGGTGAAGGAGTAAGAAGGTCCTCATATCCCTCCAAAGTCCTTCGCAGTGCAGCAACCAGCTCTTCACCACCTCCTCCCGGGAGTCTCTAACCCTCTTGGGTGGTATCAAGACAATCTCTTATTAGAGACCATAGAAAAAATGTGAAAATAGGGATCTTATCAGGCCCTTCCAAGGAAACATCCCCGTAATTGCTTTCCTATTTTTTCCAAAGTCTGACTATTCACAGTTCCCTCCTGTGGAAACCAAGGACAAGTTTCTTGCACAAAATGTAAAAATTCTGTTAATTGCTCTCCTTTTACTTTACAGCCTCTAGCTCTAAGCATAACTTTAAGCATCTGTATATAAAGATCCTCTCTTGGGATCCAGAATTTCCCATGTTTTATACCCAGTGAAACCAATCCACTCCTCACCTTACACTTACCTTTAAGTGTTGGACGTGTCCCCCAGGAGCATCCTTCTGCCTGGATGGATGAATGAAATTTACAATGAATAGAGCCCTCCCCTCAATGGGAGGGTGGAGTTCCCCCGTACTCAGAACCCATGTTGGGTGTCACTGGCCGTGGCGGTGAGAGCACTGAATCCTAACCACTAGACCACCAGGGACACAGATGGAGTTACAGTGACTCTGAGGCAAGCTCAGTGTGACTTTTGAAGGTCGAGGAGGGAGTGGGAGTCTTCTTCCAGGACTTGAAACTTGCTGGCAGAAATAATTTCTTAAGGCCTGTCTGTACCCGGTTATCTATGCTAAACTAGAAGCAGCTGTCTGTTCAATATTTTGCTTCTCTGTCCTTGGCAGATTATAACACAATCAAGCATGGCTTTGCCAATGCCACAGGTCTGGCTCAGATCTGGCTCTCTACAGGGCAGAAGAGAGTCTGCAAAGGGCAGTGGGGTGGGAGGTGGGGGTAAGTGAGCTAGAGGATGAACAAGGAAGGGTGGGGTGATACTACTGAAGGGAAGAAGTGTGATCCAAAGACACAGTGGAGCTTGTAGAGCTAGTGCAGACGAACTCCCCAGTGGACCTGGAAACAGACACGGTTGGTGTCCTTAGGAAGATTTGGTTTAGTAGGATGAATGGGACAGAAACCAGATGGGACTGGGTCGAAGAGGAAACACAAGAACAAGAATTTGAAACACTGTGTATGAAAACTAGGTTTGTAAGCTTGTTTGTGGAGTGGAGGAGTGAAACAGAAGGTGCCTAGAGGAGAATGTGGGTTCCCATGGCCCCTGCACAGTTTTGCTCCTATTTTCTCAGAATCATTTTCATAGAACAGCTGAATTGGCACAAGACATAAGAACATTTTCAATGTTTGACTTATTTAACTCTTTCTTATTTAGATATTTGTTATCATGCATCGCTTGTTTGGCTAAAAAGTGAGTTCTCATTGTTCTAATTAATATCACTCTGTAGTGAATTTCAATGGTAAGCCATTTACTTGCTAATTGCAGTTCTTTATGCCATCGAATTTTACAATCAAGATTCATTTTCTTTTATCTGTTACTTCATTTACTCTAGTCTCATGTTGGTCACTTATATTACTTATAATTTCTAATCACTGACACAAACATTTTCTATACAGTAGAGTCGTAATCTTTTGATGGATGCTTGTTTTTAATTTGACCTGTGCAGAAAGAGCTGGACAGTTTTTTGTATATTTCTCCAAGCACTCCTTAGGACATAGAGCTAGGAGGACATAAGCCTCCTCCTAGTCATTTTCAACGAACAAAAATTAAAATTACACACATAGATGTATACTACCTGGCCCAATGGATAGATCAATGACAAATCCTGTACTGTGAGGTATGGAAGATTCCCTGAGTTTCATATTATGGAGTTTTGTCAATATTTTTAAGTCTGAATTGATGCAGTCACTAAAGTTTTTCTTTTCCATACTTGTTTTTTCATGGCTAATGTGATTTTTCTGCATGTAGTTTAATACTTAATTTGGTCTGCTTTGGGAGAAAGATAGAACTTGTTTCTTCTATTTGTTTTTTTAAATGTCTCATTGATTGCTATGAATAGTCATTTTGGTTTCCAAAAATGTGTATGATTTTCATGAAGCCTATGTTGGGACCTTAGAACAACTGTAAAGTTAAACAGGAAAAAAGCCAGCACTATTTTCGAAAAATAGAAAGGAATTCTTAACCTTAGCTACCTCGACTTTTAAAGTATCCGTAGTAAAATAAGAATAGCAATAATTAAAGGTTATAATTATATTAATAAAGCAAACAATCTCACAACTAGTTTATCATCAAAATGTGAAAACTTCCTCTAGCTAGTTCTCTACTGTCATCTCAACCTGAAAATCTCTGTAGTTATACCCTGTTTAATATCCAGAAGTTATTAACTTGTATGTTCCAAAGTAGTAGAGAACTGAGACGTGGGGCTGGCAAAACAGAGCTGGAGATGAGTGAGCTGCTGCTGCTCTGGCCTGCTGGCCCGCCATGCACAGGTCTTGCCCAGGCTCTGGACTTTAGCCATCCAAGACACGTGGTCACCTGGGAGAGAAGATGAGAGGAGACAGGGTCGAGGCTATGGTGCACATGAGCTTATGTAGACTAGATGGCAGTGTCAAGGAGAGGCAGCTGAGTTTTGGGGGTTGTAGGTATGAGAGTTTAAATGTGGCCCCACTTGGACTTTCCTCTTCTGTGACACCCTCCTCAGAGGTTAAGATGCCCCTGATGTCCAGCCAGGAACAGAAATGCAGTAAATAAAGGGAGCTGCAGTACCAACAGTGCCCACACGTGTACACCAGACAAGCTGGGAAAGAATCTAGGAGCTTATTGCAACTGTGTTTAAGTGCTTTAAGTCCTAATTCCAAGAGACTGCACCAGTCACATGATGCTCATTTGCTCAATTAACAAAGCAACAAGAACTATGAAAAAGTTGTAAGAGCCAGCAGCAGCTCAAGAATTTGAAATGGAAGAAACAGTAAATTCTAGCACATGGGGACTCTTGGTTGCAGATTAAATAGATTTAAAGTTTGTTACATTTAAGTTTCAAAAGTATTGACTAGCCAAGTTGAAGGTCTACTGGTCTATCCTGTGGAAGATCACAGTGGGCTGCTACACTCTGGTTCTCTACCTCCAGCCACATTTTAAGGCAAGTTGCAGGATGGCTGCCTGTTAGAGGAGGCAATCAGAGCCTGAGATTGGAAATTCAGTAAAGGCTCAAAATAAACACTTCATAAAACATAACATGTAGAGTGCAAGGCATGGAAGCGGGCATCGGGCTGCTAAGGGCATGCGAGCGAGCTTCCTGAGCACTGTGGAAGAAATAACACCTGGTTTCCTGGCTCATGGAATAGCAAATTCTGTTTAGATTAGTGCCAAATGTGTTAAGATGTATGATCAGTGACTTGATGATTTGTACTGTCCCTTCCACACAATCACCCACTTAGCCCAGGGGGCCAGTATAGCTGAGCAGTGTGAGTGAAAGGATTTCAGGATTTTATGAAAATGAAAAATTATGAAACATTTGTAGGCTTTAATCTCTGTAAGATATCACTTTCCAGTATTGCTCAGAAGATTGTCTGCTATGCATTCAGGTGATTTTAGTGGAGTCTAAGAACTGGAGAGAGAGTGAAAGGATGTGCACTTGAAATGTACTTCCCTTCAAAAACTGATAAGAAGAGAAGGAAGGGAAAATATAGCATAGATGATAGAGGTTTTGTTTATCCCTTTTGCATCAAAATCAAAGTTGTGACAGAAACATGAGCAAACAGCAAGCAAAGTCACCTGGGATATAGATGAACAGAAGCACTACAACTAGGGAGAGAAATAAGAAATCACCCCACAATGGTAGTAGGTAGGAGGGGGTGTAGTTGTGAGGCTGCCCGGTCCCCAGTGGCTGAGTGGGATGGACTTTCGCGGTGACAGACCTGCTCGCTCTGAGCACGAGCGCTGGGTGGGCTGCTCGGGAGTAACCAGGGACTTACAGGGGAACACTGAGTTGTCAGAGCGAGGGCCAGAGGCGAGGTTCTCTTCCAGGCAGAAGTGTTGGTGGAATCCATTGTTCCTCTGTTGTGCTCTCCCCTCTCCCAGTATGGAGGCAGTGCCACTATAGCTGAGACAACATCAAACTGGATAACAGAGGTTGCTCTGCCCAGAGGATTCCCTGAAACTCTGCCTCCCCCAACTTACTGGCCCCACCCAAGCCACATCCAGTTGTGTCCTCGTCGAGTTTGGTGCTCTTTGCTGAGCCAACTCCAAGACTTACACTGGTGGCAGCTGACCTCAGTTTCTTGAGGCAACTATAAACACAGAATTGCTTGCTGAATCTTAACAGGTAGCCTCAGAGGGGCACCAGCTTGGGCTAAATTTGGCCTGCAACTGAACCCCTCTCAAGACTGTGCCACTGGAAATCTACTACACAAAGCCATGCTAATAAGACCAGGAGACTTAGGAGCTTTGCTTAGTCCATAGAAACAGACACAGAAAGATAGCCAAAATGTGAAGACAAAGAAGCAGAAACCATATGACAGAACAGAACAGAGATCCAGATATAATGGAGTTAAGTAATTTAACAGA